CTCCGTCGTGTTCTCGGGATCTCGGATCGGCTGCGACTCGCCGATAAGACAGCGGTCCGGATAATTCGCGCGTATCTTGAATTCGAAGAGGTGAATAACGCGAGGAGGAAATCTCGCGAGGGAATTTCACGATAAACGAGCATTTGGCGGGAGCGAGATACGCACCGGAGCGTATTGCGTTTGATACGGGATATCTACGCGAACAGCCATATAGGTAAAGAACTGTTTTGCTAAAGTATCTAAAATTGGTTAGACCTGAAAATAATTTCGTAGAATCAAAATAATAATAAATTTAAGATAACTACGTAAGACTTGAAATTAGTTGCTAAAATATTACCAAATTTTGCAGTATTATCATCATATTAAACATCTCATATAATTACTGTGATAGCTTAACAAAATTATTTTCAGATCTGATTCTGATTAAATTTTTTAATATTTTAGCGGAATAATTCTTTCATTTACGTACGTCATTTACGTAATCATTCACTAATTCCAATAAAAACAGAAAGAAATTATTATTAAAAAAAAGCAAATCCAGTCATTCTACTAATTATTTGGTTCAACAAAATTATTTTTAGATCTAAATCTAGTTAAATTTTTAAATACCTCATATCTTAAATACCAGCAGCAAAATCTTTCTTTTCATATACGTAGCCATTCATTATTCTCAACGAAAACAGAAAATTATTACTGAGAAGCCAATATGAATCGTATTACATAATTAATTTAATGATCTAACATCATCATTTCCACATTTGAATCTGGCTGAATTTTTAAATACTTTAAACTGTTCCTTTCATGTATAATCATTCATAAAGCCCGAAAGCTGTGAGAAAGTTATGAGTTGTGTGCGCCAATGTAATTACTATTAATTTGACACAAATATATATTCATAAGAATCCTACTTACATATTCACACATATACATATTCTCATTTATATTCAACTATTTTGAGTCTTTCGATTCGTTAAGTATTATTTATTCAACAGAAGACTGTCGTAGACAG